TGTGAAAAAATATTTTTAATATTTACGATTTATACTTTTATAGTTATTTATTTATATATATACTATATATTTCGGGGTTAGGTTGTCCAAATTGCACTGTATAATATGTTCTGAATTAATATGTTCTTGGGTTTTTTTGAAATATATATATACATGTATTAATTCAACCTTAATCTGAATTTCTGGACAAGAAAGAGGATAAACAGTTGAAATTTCATTCTAAAACCCATCTTTTTTTGTCTTTTCATGGCTTATGATCTGTCAAATTTGTAGTTTTCTTTATTGGTTTTGAGTGTTTATCTTAAAACTCAAGTTTCTTGGTTCTTTGCTCTTGGTGTAAATTGAACACATTTGTGGAGTCGTTTAAATATGTTGGATTTTAAAGATATTGGATTTTAAACTGTCATATAATTTTTTCCATCGATAGTCTGTAATTGGAACCATAACTTTTATTTATTCAAATTGTATTAATATGTAAATACCAAGTGTAACATATATCATCGTTAAATCTTATATTATAAAACCAGTGGAATTTCAAAATCGTTAAAATTCATGGCTCCCGCCGCATTGCGCAGATACACAACTAGTATTAATGAAACAAAATCATTTGTAATAAACGTAATGACCGAAATGGTTTCACAGTTTCATCATAAAAAAAATAGTACTACATTTCATGACCGAAATGGTTTCACAGTTTCATCAATACATTAATCAACGTAATGCATGATGAGACATTTGTCATTTTCATGTTATTGGTACATGGATCCATTTCATTGTAATAATGAAATTGTTTCACTGTTTGTTAATTACACAACATTTTTTTAGCAATTATGAAATGGTTTCACTTTCGTTATGCACCCATTTCATCTGCCAATTTCTTCAAATACGAACACGTTTCATAGAGTCAATGCATTTACCATTACATGTTTTGATAACCATTAAGTGAACGCGTTTCATAGAGTCAATATATACCTTCAAATATAATCAATCTGCATACGTTTTATAAAACAAGTTCCTCAATGAACGTTTTCATGAACAAATCTAACATGAATCTGTTTCACAGCTGATTATATTTTTATCGGTCATGAATCTTTGTTTGGATCTGTTATTGATTTCGTTGATTAATGAATATAATAATTTTCGATTTTCATATTGTTACCACTAATAAACCGAGAAACCAAATAATAATATTTAATTTTTAAAATTCTAATTTAAAAAACATTAAAATATTATCATTTCTAAAATTTCCTTTATTATGTTATCTTATTAAGATCTCTTAATAACTTTCTTATTTAATCGAAAACAATGTAAATGACAAATCTACCTTTAATGATTAAATTTAATTAAGAAAAAAAAGAATTTTCTTATTTATCGAAATTAGTTTACACGGTTTTTAAGGATTAGACGGTTTTCATTTGATCCCGGCTCTCTCTCTCTCTCTCTCTATATATATATATATAGAGAGAGAGAGAGAGAGAGAGGAGCGTTCAAATATAAACCACTCAATTTGTACAAACCGTGAAAACCTAATTCAATCAATAATAATTTTTCATTTTGTTCATTTTTTTTGTAATTATGAGAGGTTAATTAACCATTTTTATTGTGGAGGGTGTTAATCATGGATATTATCATCTTCATTATTTTAATTTTAGAGAAATACATAAAACAGTTTCATCAAAATTTCATTAAATATTATATGAAACAATTTTATAACCATATATGAAAGAAATTCATCAAAAAAAGTATTATATGAAACAATTTCACAAGATTAAACAATTTCATGAAAAAATTTCATAAGATTAAACAATTAAATCGACATATGAGAATGGTTTGTACAAATGAGGGTGGTTTTCATTTGATCGCTCTTCTCTCTCTCTCTCTCTCTCTCTCTCAATATATATATATATATAGAGAGAGAGAGAGAGAGAGAGAGACTTGAGATCATGTGAGACCAAAAGTTTTTCGTGAGACCCGTAAGACCAATTCTCAACCATTTGATTAGATCTACAATCTGAACATTCATAATCACAAAATTGTCACGAGACTTCTCAATAATCACAAAATTGCCACTGTGCAACTTTAGACCATTAGATCATTAGCTTATAAAGTTGATCAACGAACATAAATTGGTCTTACGGGTCTCACAAAAAACCCATGGTCTCACGTGAACCCAACTATATATATATAAAGTTAATTTGAGTATGTATCGATTGCATGTGTAGGCCGAATGTGGATAAAAAAAAAGATGCTTTGAAACTTGCTAAATAAACGTGACACTTATTATTTTATATTGTTTAAGTAAAAAGTTGATTAGTATCGATCTAACTTATATAACCCATTTTTAAAAACATCTCTTGTGAAGCTGGAGATTATTTTACATTTTATCAATTAAACTATACGTTAGATACTATTTTATATTTTACATTATTAATAAGCCATGTTTTTTAAGTTCCATGTTGATATCGTAATTTTATAACATGTTAAGGAAAATCTTCATGTAATCACCAAGTTTATACAGTTATTATGGCTTTGTGAAGAAAGATGTCACGTTAGACTCGAAAAAAAACACTTGTACGTTAAACTACATTTGATAAATATTAAAATAATACATTAGATTCAAATTGATGATATATACTCTTGAAAATATTTTGTTAAAATATTTTACCCTTTCCACCTTTAGAACTCTATCAAAACGGTATTGTATGCAATAATTTACCCAATAAACGTTAGTGGTAAGAGTCATCGACCCCACTTAACATGTAAGATCCTTGCCAGGTAAAATTCTTGGTTCTTGACATATTCATCTGGTAAGGTAATATGACTTGATAAATGTTTACCTGGATAAACGTTTGGTAAACGATTCCTTAGTTCTTTGTGTGTTTAATTCATGGATTACAGAACACAATTAATAATAAACAGTTTTTAGGAGCCCATTAAAAATCTTGTGTTATCTCATAGATGGAACAACAATAATTTATAAAACATTTGAATCCAAATGTTGTTTTATCTATGAAACAACGTTTAATTTGAACCAATGGAAAAGATAACATCAAACTTGGTACATTGATTAATCAACACAGTTAACATCAAACCATTTTTTAAAGCCCAATAAAATCTTGTTCTGTATGCTTTATAAACCATTTGACACCTATGAAATAACACCTCATATGAATCAACAGGAAGGACATCACCAAATTTATTTCACAAATGAAACAACACAGTTAACATGACTAATGGTCTTTAGAAAAACTGCTTCCATCATCCACATATATATTTGTTAATCATAACGTTAACCCTACAAAATAATATATGATTGAAACATCATACATGCGATACCAATAAGAAAATGTTTTCCCGATTTACCCACGTAATTAAACCCCAAATCATACATGAAACGAAACTAAGGTTTAGTTTTGCTTCCAATAAGAACCACTACATGTAGTCTACAAGACCGACAAATGTATATATACTATACTATAAATCAACATTTATTTTCTTTTGTTTCATTTCCATAGTCGAAATTGCCCCATGTGCTTCATTAGCATTTCTAGTCTCGTTAAAAGACAGGGGGTGCGTCAATGACTTTTTAGAACGTGGATTTCATCATAATCTCTCACCCCCTTTTTCTACTTGTGATTCGGAGCATCGTAAATAACAAGTAAGCATAGACAAAATCATGGATCGGGAAGAAATTCTTACTTCGAACGTGCTGGTGTCTTCCTTGGTTAATTTGCTCATTCGTCATTCATATGTGAAAATGATGGGAACCATGTATGTTGGAATATATGAAATCGTATTTTTTGCAGATGTCTACGATTTGTGTATGATTTAGAATGAAACATGCTTATGAATCGTGTACGAGGATTTTACAGGGGATTAAGATGTTCCTAATTTACGTTTCGATTATAATACCCTAGTTAGCCTTTTGTTTCCTTTCTTCTGTTTAATTAGACATTTGCCACCGTCTAATTCTCATTCCTTGATCAAAATGGTTCGACAATGGATATTGGTCCACACAGTTTCCAACATTTACGCAGTTTCTAATTGATATGTCACCATATATATTTCCACCCATTGTAAAAATATGACACCTATTAGTTACGCTCATTTTCCTTGTTAGGTCATATATGGGAACAAATCTCTATTCATTTACGAGAGCGATTACACAATATGCTAAATTCCCAAATATATTTCTTAAATCACTCTCTTTCTTTGTTGTCTATTCGTCAACTTGTTTATTGATACGAACATGTTGTTCTAAATGGTATACACTATGTTAATGATGATATTAAATAAAAAAAATAACACACATAATGTGGCAACTTACTTTGCTCAATATCTTTATTAATCGAACAACTTAAAGATATTAGAAACTTAAAGGACTCTTTTTGACTTTGTTAACTCTCCAAGGGTTGGATGTGCTAATTTAAATTCTACAACATTATGAAAATAAATTGTGAGGCTATTTTATGCATTTGACTAGAGATGGCCAAATGTTTCAGGAAATCGATTGGGATCGATTTGGGACCGTTGGCTAAGGACTAGTTATAATTTTCATCCAAAAACAAGGTATGGTCCGGCCCGGGACTAGTTAGTATTTTCGATGGGATCGGGACCGGTCCGGATTGTTACTGTTTCAACACAGGACCGATTTGGTTCCAGCTCAGGACCGGTTGTTGGCCATGTCTAGAGATGAGACATCATCTGAGAATCACAATTCTTTAAATATCGAACGAAATATTTATAAATGTAAAAAAATATGTTTGCCAATGTCTAAATTTCACGGCTGTTATCGATCTTTAAACACTTTTTTTAATTAACTTGACTATCAATCAAGCATGTCTACTATGTCATATGCTTAGTGAAATGGAGCACATAGATCATTTCCGAAAGACATGACATTTTTGATATTATAAGAAAATCTGTCAATTAAATTTATTGTGGTTTAAAGAACTTTACTTGAATACCGGTGTCAATAATCGTATAAAACCCTCCAACAATCACAACAACACTTAACACCATGCCGAAAACACCTAGTCCCCAATTTAACCACCATTTGGGACTATAAACTTGTGGTTTCTTGATCTTTAGCCACATGAAACACGGATATGCCAATGTCACGGGTAAAGCAATTCCTCCCACTAAACCGGCCACACTTCCCAAGAAAGGAAATGCAACTGCAAATAAGAAACTTCCAAACCCGAAGAAGGACCGCATGACCACCCTGAGCCACCATGGACATGGTTTCTTGAACCTTATAACGTAATTAGACTCCATCTCATCGAACGTTGGCATTGCATATATTTGGAAAGAAGTTAAACTGTTGATGATTACGAGTAAGCTTGCTAACCCTTGAACTGACCTGGCTAGATCTTTACCATGGAACATGAGCAATGCATTCAACATCCCAGATGCAGGAATCTATAAAATAGGAATAATTATATCGTTAAAAGTTTATACTATATATAACTTGCAAAAGAGATAGGAATAACAACTTACTTCCCGACCATAAGCCCAATAACCACCAATTGCAAGGGGGAATACGCATATAGCTATAAGAGCATATGAAGCTTTGACACCCCTCCACATAGGAATTCTAGATGGATGCTTCTCACTTGAGGGCATGGTAGCCTATATTGAAATCTATGTAGTCAATAATAAGAATGATAAAAATGTTGAGAATATGCGACTAGATCTCAATCGTGAAATGACACGATTTACAACATTTTATTTTAAAACAAAAGAAGACCCCCCTATCTTTTACTCGAATATAAAATAGATGAATACAACCAAAATTGGAACCAACAAATTATATAAATAAAAAACGAGCATTTTGTTCTCTTTTGCCATATGTTATACTTTTTAATCCAATTTTTCATTATGCACACATATTCTCAACCTTTTTGTCATCATCAAGTTTATCACCACATTTACCTGTATCTCAAGTATAAGATTGTGGCCTCTAAATGTGAAAGCAATGATACCAAGGGCATTGAGAATGTTGAAAACCCTAGCAACATCTGATCGTGCCTTTACCAAACCATAGGATACATTCGGTGGTCTACCTTCGACCACTGATACGACCCATATTGTTGTACAATACCCAATAGCTGTAATTGCACCAACCAATGAGATCCCAGCTATTGAGTTCATGTTGGGCAACTGAGAAAGGAGAACTGCTCCGCATGTGAACACCAAGTACCACTCTGTTGGAGTCAATCTTCCAGCTTTGCAAGAGGAATCATCACAAACGATGTCGAAGAAGATTTTCGCAGTTGATCCACCAATGATGATCAGAGCCACGCAAGTACCCCCTGACAGATACACTATTGGAAATTTGGCGAGGCTGTTCCCTAACCTTTCACCTGTGAAACATTGTTAGCATGAGAATATGTGGAACCCATTAAAATAATTTTAAAAAGAAAACTCGAGGAGAGAATGAAGGTTCCAACAAATATAGTTGACATGAGACTCCAACAGTTATGTGAATTAGTTTGCTACAAGAACAAAAACATCTTTTAATATAGAATTATTCTTCCTTAAATGTGTTATTTTCTCACAAGTTGCTCTTAAAAATGCATAGCTCCCTTGCGAAAAAGGGTATGCATATGAATGATGAGTTGATGGATCAAGATAATTTTCTTGAAGTCAAAAGTGTAAGATTGCTCACCAAAGGCTGCATTTGCTAATTGCATGTATCTGCTGTGTCGTATCCCAGTTTCAACTGATTCATGGAGATTTACTAGCAAGTACAAAGTGTAGAGTTGCCATATAAATACTAAAATCAACGATATGATACCCCATACCCTATAACAAAACAAAAACTTTTATTAGATTAACTTCTTTTTGGAATCTGGATCCCATCCAATTTAGTAATATGTTATACTTGCAACATAGAAGTTCATGTAAATTTGGGGGTTTGGATCATAAACAACAAAATTGGTTTTATAAGATGTCTAAATGTTTTAGTACACTATTTTTATAGAACTTGCATGCCCTATATATAAGTGTTATGGTCATGGAAGGGACCAGAGATTTTTTTAAACGGTGACATCATTTGACTATAAGAAACAAATGTAGAGAAATATTTTCAATTTCAAACAGTGACACGAACAAGATTCGAACTCAGGTTTGGGTGGAAGAAAGCCTTGCAAACCAACTCTACAAAAGAAAACATGTTTTCATTGTAGTTTCAAATGTATATGGTGGCCCACAACAAATTAATACGATGATACTTTTCACAACCCTAAAATCTTTTACAGTATGACAAATGAACAATACAGTGGCATGGGCCATTGTATGCTCTGAATTGGGTCCGTCTGTAATAGGATGTTGAACATCCTAACAAGTTTTGAAGACACTTTTGACATAAAATATCACATTAGCTTTTTTTTTTAAAGACACTTCCAAAAAATGTCCGGCGAATACATCTTTTAATAGCACATTTGTTTTTATGATATATTTTTTCAAATAATGTCATATAAAAATACTAATAGGATATTTATTTTATAAAAATGTCCTAAAAACTTATTAAGATGCCCAAACCATCCTATCGACTTATTGTAATACATTTACATATGATACATAATTGTTTGATCCTATAAACTTCAATTTTATAAGACAGTGTGTTAGGACACTTAAAACATTTTTTTCAAGTCTTATAAAGCTGAATTTTACATAGTTAATCTTATAAACACAGTCAAAGATTCATGCAGTTTGAATCTGGATCCAATATAATCTTATATGCTAGCTTACGGTGCCTTACCAGCCAAGAAAAGTGAAGGCGACAGGGAGAATAAGTGCTTGAATCCCAATTCCAGAACAAAGTGTGTGAAAAGCTGCATAGAAAGCATTTCCATTTCTTGATTCAGTGATGGGCAACCAAGCATCATGCGGGTCTAGCTTGGTGAGGTGTAGGACCTTTCTAAGAGGGCTAGCCAAAGGTGTCAAGAATTTTGGTGTCAAGTTCCTAGACCTAATAAAACCAAGGGGTGTTCTGGCTCCACTAGCCGGCACTGTCATAGGGCGGTCTGGTGTCCCAAGAAATGGTGATCGTGACATCGATGGTGAGTTATACTGCGAGACAGGAGCAGAGATCACCGACAGAGTGTGTGATAAAGTTGTCTTGTGGCCGGTTTTAGTTTTGGTGGTGGAATGTGGTGTTTGACTTAGTGGTGATCGAGATAAGGATGGTGATTGGAGTTGAGAAGGCGGAGCTGATATTACTCGTGGTGGCCAGTGGCCGGCCGACGGTGGTCTTGGGCTTATCGGGGCGGAGCTAACTTGATCATCAGACTCTCTCATGTTAGGATTTTGGCTTTGCCTTTCAATTTAGGGTTTTTTTTAATGTACCTTCCATTGATCATAAATTTTGGGTACATATAGAAAATAGTGGCTTGTGCATTAGTTATCCATATAGGTTTAGAGTATTTTTATTGACTACGGTTATCATCTACTCAAATCTCTTTTACCGCTCGTTTTGGAAAACGGGAATATTGAAAACAAATAATTACTTGTAATGACAATATATATATATATATATATATATATATATATATATATATATATATAGAAATACCCTAAAAATCACATAAGAATAAATCAAAGTTGTGGTGTATAAATTTAGTGATGCCATAACTACGAATTAAGTTTTAAAAATTGGTAAGTATTTACGTAGTATGAGATATTCGACTTTCTTGATTTCTATTTATTTGAATTTAATATATGCAATTAAAACTCCAAGTCAAAATAATATCACTAATTCTACCTAAATTAGACTTAATTTAATGGCTTATTATTACTAAGAAATTTTAATTAGCCACCTAATTCTTAAAGAAACCAAATAATTGTTATCACTAAAAAATAATTAAAATATAAAAACAAAGTTAAGTAAGAAACGGAGAAATTGATCCACAACTATGTTTTAACATTGGTTTCTGTATGCATTTATGTTTATTGTCAAAGCTCGACGAATAATGAACATATTGAGATGCAATCAAGTCATTCAATTTTTTACGACATCGATTGGTGCTATTAATAATGCACAAGGAACCCCCCAATGGATTAATTTGCTTCCTATTGTTATCGAACTGGCCATAGATATCAAACACCAAATCTAAGGCGAATTAAATGTATGTGAAATGTTAGGTATCAAGGAACCCATTTTATGGTATATGTTGTAGTCCAATATCGACTAGATTTTGATCACTTCTCCTCTAAATATATGTTGGAACATTCATTTTATTCTCAATAATTCTTTTGGGGAGTAATTTGACAAAGTTCAACTTAATCTTACATCAGAGCTGTAGCACCACTTCAAGACTCGTCACACTCTTTCGCGTCTATTCTTGGGGCTCCTGTGCCCGTTTAGCCTTCACTTTGAGGACATGCTGGAGTCTTACACATGACTAGACTCTGACTCTTTCTCTTTAGTATATATTGAAACTCTGATTCTCTTGCTCTTTTACGGTTAAAAATAATTGCTAAGAAAAACATTCAAGAATTACTCATTCGCCATTGAGAGAGATTATAAAGACCTAAACACAGGTAAACTGTTATTATTTCAAGAGTGTTAGACCATCCACATCCCTGCAATTCATTTACACTTTCAATTGTGCCACATCAGCTTTTGCAATTATCTTCCACACACCTGCAATTCACCTACAACACTTTCAACTGTGCCACGTCACCTACACTTTCAAAAGTGGTCCCCACTACAACATTTATTAACTATTTTATAAATTATTTATATATACATTCTAATTATTTTTTAATTAATAACATGTTTTATATATTAGATTATAATTTTATGTAATTATAAAATTTAATGTTTAAAATAATTTAATTTATTATATAATTAATGTAATTAAAAATATATTAACATTATTAATTTATAAAATTATTAAAAATATATTAACATTATTAAAAATATATTAACATTATTAAAATTATTAACATTAAAAATATATTAACATTATTAATAATAATTTATTTAAATAGTTTTGGAGAGGTGGTTGGTGCACGTGGCTTTCAAGTTGAATTGCAAAATTTGCAATTTAAATCCTACATGGCAGCAATTGTCCGACAAAAATGGTTTTGCAATTCAATTTGCAAGCCCCTATGTGGGTGCTCTTATAACCTTGGTGCACCCAAACACCATCTGAAACAACTTAGGAAAGTTTAGGTAGGCAATTTTAATAGCTCCATATAGACATTAGACATAATCTGATCTAAATGAGTTCATCTGGATCAAATCTTGTGGCTCGCATATAGCATCAGCCGCGACCGATATGAGCCATTTGTTCTAGCTAGCTAGGACCCACATGTCGCCAGATAAGTTCCTCCTTTCCAACCAAAAACCAGTAAACACACCCACTATATGTCTGAACAGTCCTACGTTGATGGCTTGATGCATATATATATCACATGGTTCTGCCTCCCCTTTGTCCCTACACTCCAAAAACTCATTTATGATAATGTTCTTTTCTTGCCTTTGTGAATATGTGTATATATAACCATTATATATCGATTCTGTCTTTAAACACTAACAAAACAATAATCATCTTGGTTTTTCTCTTCCACAAACCCTATTAACAACATGATCAACCCCATGAAACTAGTTAGAATGGCAAGAAAGTGGCAGAATCTGGTGGCACTAAGGCGTAAAAGAATTGCCTTTCCAAGAGCTGTGGATGGTGGTCGTGGTGCAACCATTGTTGATAAGGGTTGCTTTGTGGTGTACGCTTCTGATGGAGTACGGTTTGTGATACCATTAGATTATCTCAAGAACGACATTTTTCAAGCGATCTTGGTGATGGCTGAGGAAGAGTACGGTTTGCAGAACGATGGGCCGATTAGGCTGCCCTTAAGAGCCACCTTTATGAACTACACAATATCTCAAATCGAATGTCCGATGAGCAAAGAGCGTGAGGAAGAACTTCGCATTGCTATAACTTCATGGCGGTGCTTGTCTACTTCAAACCTGCTGTCTGAACAAGCTCACACCCAGTTACTAGTCTGCTAATTACTTAGAGAATGATTGGTTCTATATATCTAACAACAATTAATCTGTATAGCAACATTATAGACACGAGAGAGCACTTCAATGAAATTGCCTTTTGTTAATTCTTTCTCAACAGCTTACCTTTTTATTTTATTTTGACAATTACATCATATTAATCGTTAGTTCGTAGCACATACGTATCGCCACCCATACAATATGGATGGTGCATCTTGGATCCGTATGCGAGTGAACCACTTAGCAATTTATATCGATGTCGAGGTATATGTCGTAAATTCTAAAACCCAAACCAGAAACTTAATATGGACATGGTTCGAATGTCCAAATGGATTCATCAATCACATGGTTTGTCTGCCTTCTTTCCAGACCTCTAAACTGGTTCTTTTGCCCTGTTATCTCAACTTGATCAATGATCATCGACCACAAAGAAAGATATCAGACAAGGACCTGTCGGCATTAATTAAGGCGTATTAATTTGATTGTGTCACACATAATTATTTATATTGCATGGTGTATCAGATCACACATGCCTTTGCCTCGCACACAATTTAAGTACATGAGCTTTTATGGGTTAATTAATGGTGCAAACTGCAAGGTACTAAACATTCCAATTAGGATATGGTGGAGTTGTGATGATAATCGGTTAACAGACATTTCTTTTACATCGATCAAGTAGCTGAATATTTTTCTTGAATAACTAAATAATCGAACTTATAGAAATTGTTACCTACATCATTTTAACCCAAAAAACTATTCGTAACTGGTTAGGAAGGTTTTCAATTAAAAAACAAATACCTAAATCAGTTTATTGTTCCCAAACCATATGTCATTCAAATCCCTCGCACCTAAAGTGTAAACTATTTAAGCTTTTATATATAAACGAGTTACTCGAGCTCGAGCTTAATAGTTCGCGAGCTCAAGTTGATCCCGAACATAAAATATAACTCTTTCAATTAACGAGCCTAGCTTCATAACACTAATGTTCAACTCGGATATTGTTCGAAAACTCAATTAAATTTTTTGAGTCGAGCCGAGCCATTCGAGCATAAACTTTTTGAAGGCAAACATGCTCATATATTCATTAATCATACAACAAAAATATAAAAAAAATTCGAGCTCAAGTTGATAAACAAGTTAATCGATTGCGAGTTCGAATCCATAAACGAGCATCAAGCTTGATAACTCAAAAAATATTCGAGCTCGAGCCTACTTTGAAAAAGTTAATCAAGCTCGAGTCGACTCCTCGTTGCCACGTCGTCGTCCACTCGTTATCACCGTCTTGGCCCCAGCTATATAGATGTCTCTCTTTTTAATTGTTTTTTGATTCTTCCTCATTTCCTGATTTTTCCTTAAAAAATATACCCAGAGTTTCCTGCTAAAGTCATCTATAAAGGTTAGTAGATATATGCCCTGAAAAGGAGGTGATCCAGCCGTACCTTCCAGTACGGCTACCTTGTTACGACTTCTATCATTACCGCCTGGACAATTAGACACCCAACCCGTAATCGCAACGACCCAATTACAACCCATTTGATATTAGATAAAACCATTTGATATTAGATAAAAAAAACTTAGAGAAATTAACAATAAGCAATACTATTAAACGAATGACCAATTAATATTTTTACATATTTTCTTATCCAATATAATTAATTAATTAATACATGTATAATACTGAATTTCTTTTTGAGTCCCATTAAATACTAAATTTTTTTGTCTCTTTTATTTACAATTTCTTTTGAATTACTACTTTAACTAAAAAGAATTACACACTTGGAAGAAAAACTACGGAAGCAATGATCCTACAATGCTCTCTGAACATCTCGCACTAAGAGCACAGCTTTTTCTAGCTCTTAATATCTATGAACAAAGGCAATATTTTGAGGGATTTCATGACTCAATTGTCTGTATGATGGTGCTAGAATCTGCTGTCTTATACACTTAGAAAAATAAGTAGGAATAATCTGACTGCATTCAGAAGCCGGAAATCGGCACTTGGGGATGACTTTGTTCTAGTTGAATGTTCGAATTCGATAACCACCTTTCGGAAGTAATTATAGACATGAGAAGCGTTTTCTCAAGATCGTTACACACACATCTTTCTGTCAAAGATATCATGTATTCCATAAATGTGGCTTCAAAAGGCAGCCTAATCGGCCCGTCAATCTGCAGCCCGTATTCATCCTCCGCCACCTTCAGGAGCTCTAGGAAAACCTCGTTCTTGAGGTAACACAGTGGCATCACAAGGCGTATTTCATCAGATGTGTATACTGTGAAGTGACCCTTATCAATACCTCTGGTTGTGCCGTTGGCCGCTCTCGGAAATGTGAAACGTTTCTGCCTTAGTGTTGCCATTCTGATTAGTTTCTTGGGGCTTATCATTGTGTTTTTTGTTTGATTTGTTTTGAGAGACGTGAAAGAGCATTTGTTTATATACATAACAGGATTCGGAGGGTGCCATAACTGTAGCTCGACAGGTGCACCAAGAATGTATGGTAAACCAAACATAAGTAAATTGTTGTCGGATGGTTGGATCACATATGGGTCCAAACAACTGGTTCACACGACTAAAAGCAGACTGCTATGAGCCACAGATATGGTTAAGATTATGTGGATACAAAATATGTGTGTACTTAATGCAAAAAAAAATTATAAGCAAATGGCAACTATCAATCATCTATACTATACAGTACACCACCTTAATTATATGCTAATGGAAATGTTAAAATACTTTAGATCATTAATCCATAAAAGGTCATGCATTTGAATTAATTCTCCATCTGTAAGGCAAAGACATGATTAGATATACCAATATGAATGAATTATGTTTTTTTTTTTCGATTACAAGGGTGGTGCTAGATTGGTTTGAGCTTGGCTCCAAAGGTCAAAAGTATCTGGAGGTCTTAGGTTCAAATCCAAGGAGAAATAAAAATCCTCTTGTGACCACGGAGGTTCAAATGCGGTGACTCCAGGCTATCTGCAAAGCAGGTGGTTGTTCTGGAATTAATCAGCTCGCATAGCAGGTTGGATATCCAGGTTAATAAAAAAAATGTATTATTGCCTTAACTCTGTCAGGTTCTTCCCCTTGCCATCCTGGTAAGGTTTTATGGTTGATCAAGCTGTAATGAAGGCAAAGGAAACTTCCATACATGTAGCTATTAGAGTTCTTGAATGAATTAAGGAAGACAATGCCATGTGATTGATGCATCAATTTGGATGGGCCGTGTAAATATATATATATATATATAGAGAGAAAGAAGCGATCAAATGAAAACCACTCTCATTTGTACAAACCATTCTCATACGTCGATTTCATTGTTTAATTTTATGAAATTTTTTCATGAAATTGTTTAATCTTGTGAAATTGTTTCATATAATACTTTTTTTAATGAATTTGTTTCATATATGGTTATGAAATTGTTTCATATAATATTTAATAAAATTTTAATGAAACATTTTCATGTATTTCTTTAAAATTAAAATAATGAAGATGATAATATCTATGATTAACACCCTTCACAATAAAAATGGTTAATCAACCTCTCATAATTACAAAAAAAATGAACAAAATGAAAAATTATGATCGATTGAATGTGGTTTTCACGGTTTATACAAATTGGGTGGTTTTTATTTGAACGCTCCCCTATATATGTATGCATATATATATATATATATATATATATATATATATATATATATAAGAGCTGGTTCAAATAGAAACCAAACATATGGTACAAACTATGTGAACCGATCTTGATCGTTCATTTTATCATCAAACGGTTATTATTAAATGANATTAAATAAACAATAATTTAATTAATGTATTAATTGATATGTGTATGAACAATT